GATAACATAAGCAGGAGGTTGTCTCTGCAAGCCAGAGCCCCTGAGCTCTTGCCCTTTGTCCAGCCCAGAGGTGGGAGTCTGGGCTGACTTATTCCTGCCTCGGGGCAAGGCACTGAAGAGCTCTCTGCCTATCAGCCCTTTCTTTCCGAAAATAATAACAAAGTGAAGTGGCAGCGGGGGATCCAGGCAGCACTGTGTCGAGGTCTTGCCTAAGTCTTGAAAGAGGAAATGAGGAACAAAGGCAGAAGAGACAAATAAATAAGGGTCTGTTCGTGGTCCAAGAAAAATTCCCATGGGCTTGTGTAACATTCTCGGGAATATGTGACACTCCCTGGGCTGGAGTTAGTTTTGAGAAATGAAACGAAAGAGGGGGGAAAAAGGCGAGAGAGTGAGCAGCGGGGGTTGGGGAAGGGGAGGAGAGAAGGAGGGAGAGACATCCTAGAGAAACCTCTCTGCATGGAGTCAGGTTTCTGTGTTTGTTCCTGGTGAAGAGGGGTTAATGCTCTTTGCATGGGATTGGCTGGTCACCAGACATTCAGAGTAGAGGGGGATCCGGGGGCTGCCAAGCAGGACCCCTGTGGCCTGAAAAGGAGGGGAGGAGGGGAAGGAAGAGGCTCTTCCAAACAGTAATAGATCGGCTACTGTGGGAAAGTGAGCACACTGCCAAACCCCAAGTAGTTGGTGATGGATGGGGGAGGAAGGAGGGTGGGGATGGAGGGCCACCTCTTCTCCTGGCCACTAGGATCTTGCTGCTATTCCGTGGCCTCTCTTTATTTATTGTCTTCCTGGCGTTTAATTATTCTGCTCCTTGATCCCTCTTGGAGAGCCTTTATCCTGGGCATGCACAAACAACTGCCACCCGCTTCAAAAATAGCCGGAGTTAATGTGGTTTCTCCTGCCTGCGTGGGTCTGTGCGCTTCACCCATCACCATGGCATCAAGTGTTTCTTGCCTCTTTCCTCTTTTAAGTGCCTTGCTATGGGCTCACGGGGCACACACTTCACCTCCTCTGGGCTCTTCAACCTGCATCTCCCTGTTGCTTGGGCTGTCACACTGTCCCTGCTTTGCTTTGCACAGGGTTTGTGTGCCTGATCTGGTGCGTCTGCCACGTGCTCTTCACCCATGGACCCGCAGGTCTGAGGGTAATCTGGACTGTTCATCTTGGAGCTGACCTCAGGATTTGTGGCTTGTACTCTACTTGCCTGACCTGCATGGAGTGCCTGCCAGGATCTGCACTGAAGCAGTTCCCTGCTGCTCCTGGGTCTTCCACTTCCTTCCTTGAGATGTGCTCCTTCTGTGATGCTTCTGGGAAGTTAGTGAGCTCATGGTGGTTGAATGGGGGCCTTGTTGGAGATTTGGTTAGATGAACAGCACTTACAATTCTGTAATTTTGAATGTCTGAGGATGTATCTACATCTATGTGTTTTGATCAGAAATGAACTGGTGAAATAATTCAGAAAGTTTCTGCTGGTCATCTGCTTGTTCCTGTGCCTAGGCGTTTTCTTCAAGTTTATTTTTAACCCAGTTAGATCTGCTGCTGGTATGGCTGTAAAAGCAGACTTTCATGTGATTGACAACTTGAATTCATGCAACTGACAACTGAGGGATGGGTAAGCTGCGATGGTGGTGAGTGAAGGGGGAGAACCTCTGGCACAAAAGCCTGTGTTGTCACATGCCTCACTTGAAGTCTCTGAAAGCATGATTTGGTTTTGACCTGTCCGTCTTTGCAAGGCACCAAAACTAGCAGGGAGACCTTGCATACTTGTTTGATTACCCCGTGGTCTGTCTGAAGACATAAGTAGCTTTTTTGTGTAGTGTTGTCCCTTTTCCCTTTCCTGTTCCTCATGATGGAGTATCCTTTCCCTGTAAGACAGCAGAAGACCTAGCCAACTCTGTTTTGCTCTGGCTGCTGTGCAGTTGCAGCAGTGAGCAGCAGCAGCCCCGTGTTTGTCTGGGAGAAGGGCCTGGCATCCTGGGGGAGTGCAGTGAGCAGTGCCTCGGCTCGCCCTCTCATGTGCAGAGAGGCCCAGCCTTGGAGCCAAGTGGTGACGTGAGCTCCCAGGCCATCACAGCAGACCTTGTGGAAGCAGATGTTTTGAGGAGGCAGTAAGCAGGGCTGAGGAAGAGTCCTTCCAGGATATCAGGCTTAAGTGGGGGAGAGAGGTGCCGCTTCTTCTGCAGCGGAGAGAGCGCTCAGACTAGTGACAATAAGAAATTGAAGGTGCAGCTTCTGAGAACCTCTGAAGGATTAGAGTGTGCAGAAGTATTTCTGAAGCAGTAGAAATTCCTATGGTGAGACTGGATTTAGCTGGAGAGAGAAGATTAGCTACAAGGGAGCCCAGCATATCTGAAGGATACTGAGAAGAATATTTGATTGATTCCAGTGGAGTTGGAAATCCAGCTTAGTTTCCTTTAGCATGCAGTACTGCACCCTTGTGACGTCCAAGCACTTCTTGGATAAAATTAAATTGGTGTCTTGTAGGCCATTACTGGATTTCACTAGAGTTTTCTAGTCTTTTCTGAGATCTTTTTAAATTGGGGGTTGGAGAATTATATAATTATGCTGCTATTAGTAGTATGGTAGCTACAGTAAGAACAGTCTGTTTGAGTGGAGGGTTTTTTAATGGACTCTGAAGGTGTTCAGATGTTGGTCTGTTCTGCTGACTTCTGGAAGACCAGTCTTGAGACAAATCCTTCTCCAGGTCCCATGTGTTCTGTGTGGAGGGTTAGGAGCTGCTTTGTCCCACAGTGTGCATCTGCCTTGCTGCGACTGGAGATGTAGCATCTGAAATAACCAAGGCTTAGTCCACTGAAGGGCAGGACAAGACGCTTGAGAGAACAGCTGAAACAATGAAGGTCCATTGGAAGTGTGGATTCTGAACATACTGTGCTTGCAGAGGTGAGCAAATACAGCACTTAAAAAGCTGGAGGCTTTGTGTTGCATCCATCTTAGTTTCTGTGTGCAGAAGGTAGTAGCTGCTGGTGTGGAGCACTTGGGTCTCCTAGAGGAATGCATAAAAGAGATACTTGGTTGGTTTGTTTTTTGACTGTAGACGCTGCAGGTTTGTTGAGACTTTAGCAAGGTCTTGCACATAGTCTGGAGGCTTGTGGTTGGTGTGTACATCATGTGCCTGCCTTCCTGGGGAATGGGAAGGCAATGCCTTTCTTTGTGCTGTGCTGCCACCCTTCCCTGGCCAACCTCAAACCTTAGTTTTGTGTAGATTCACCCTTTAGCTATCTATTTTCCTCAGTCTGGTTTTCTTTCTGACTTATCTGCCTTATTAGTGGTGGGTGGATGGCAGCTCTGGGAGGCAAATGGGAGTCATTTAAGTGGTTACCTTGCCACTCTTCTGGCCTGTCTGCAGAAATGGAGGGAAGGTGCTTAGGACAGAGCCTTGCTGTCCCTCAGCCTGACCTTGCCTGGAGGGTGCCCGTGCTGGATGGCTCGATCCAGCTGTTTGGGCTGGCACCAAGTCAGTGACACCTTGTGGTCAGTTGCCTCGAGGCTGCAAAGGAAACACAGGGTGTGAGGTAGTGCTGTTTTGCATTAGGGCTGTGGGCAGCAGCTCTTGATGAAGGACACAGAAGAATGTTTTATTCTGTCCTTGGCAACTTGCAGGGAAGCTGATACGGACCTGCTTACATTGAAACCACCTTGTGCTCTGGCTGCCAGAGCTTCTTGCTGACGTCCTTGTAGCTTGCAGTCCCTGAAAACACCGTGGCATCCTTCATGTGAGAGATGCTGAGCCCTAGCTAACTTCTGGTACATCCTGCTTCTCTCAGATTTTCCTGCAATGTAGGATAATCTTCTTTTCCTACCCTTAAGCAAGGTGCAGTCCTGCTGTGCCTGTGCTTGTTTTAGTTGTTGACAAATACTAAGTTGTATGGCTTCTTCTGTGGTAGATGTTTGCAGGACAAAAGTAACTTGAGATTTTTAGAGTGTTTAGAGGTACTGTGGTTCTGGTGCCTGCTTCGTCCTATGCTTGAGATGGCAAGTAGACCCAGTACTCCAGAAATGTGGAGCCTGTTCCATTTGTCTCTAGCTGGAGCAGAGAGAGTTGGGCCCTCTGTGTGGAGTGGGGGGTGGAAGTCATACTGAGTTTTTAATCTGCCATGTGGAAAGTGATTCTAATTTGAATTGCTGCTTTGTGTTGAAGTGTCTGAGTGATCTGCAAATATGTTACTACATGGGTGTTATCCCATAACTTTAGGCAGAGGAGATGAGCATTATGGATCAGGGGAAAACCAGGAGCTTCTGCTCTGACTTGTTCTCTACAGCTGCATTTTCCCTGTAACCATGGGAGAGGTCTAGGGAGTCTTGAGTCCCATGCCCTAACAAGATGGGGTAACAAGCCTATATCCAGCAGCCTGTTGTGTGGCCTCTTGCCAGTGTTCTCCAGAAGAGAACATTGGGGCTGGTGAACTGCCAGCTCTTATCGGTGCATATCTTTCTCTCTGGATTCTTGAAAAATAAGTATGTTATTTCAGGATGGTATAAATCAACTGGTCACTAAAATGGTAACAGGTGCCTGGGGACAACTCATGTGCATAACACTTCTAGCTTTTCTCATTTTTTGAAAGCACTTGCCCTGCATGGTAGAGACAGAACTTCAAGCCAGGAAATACCAAAGGGATCCCTTACAAAAAGAAGCTTTCAGCTTGTCTCTCCAGGACTGTGTGTTGCTGAAGCAGTCTATAACTGTGCACTCCCTAAAGAGCTGACTGTCCATACTACTTCAGGCTTTTTCTTCTACTTGAACATTAAAGGTCTTCGTGCTGCTGACAGCAACTTGATCACTCTCCCAGAGATCAAGTTGACTTTTTTCCCCCCTTCCTCAGTCAACATTGTCAGAAGGGAAATACCTCTTCTTGCTATTTTCTGTGTTCTTGGTCACTGATGGCTGCTTTGTGTTGGAGCAGCTGGGCTCTTCTGTGACAAACTGAGATGTCTCCCTGACTGGTGCCTCCTTTCTCATTTCCACCACATGCAAATGTTTTGGATGGGTAGGGTGGGGAATCCTCCCTTGCTGGCCTTTGTCTCCAACTAGCTTCCATCAGACATGTCTTTCACTGCAGGGCTGATCAGAGGATATGGGAAGGGATACGTGATTGATGGTATTTAGTGTCTTGGCTCACCCAAGGGTGCATGAGTGTTCTCCACTCCCTGGCAGAAGAATCCCTGGCATGTGAGAATGAAGGTGGTTCCCAGAGAAGAGATTTTGAAAAGGACACACCTTGCTTCTTTGCTTCCCCTCTTCCAGGAGGGGTTAGGAAATGTGTTTATGTTCCCACTCCCTACAAAACCAACTGAGCAGTGAAAATTGCCTCCTGGGCTGTGGAGCAGCAGAGGGTGCTGCAGGGCCAGCTGGCTTGGCAGAGCAGCTGGGGAGGGCTGTGCACACCAGCCTTGCCCAGAGTTTGTTGTGCCCGTGGCTGAAGAGCTGCAGAGCCACATGCTGAGCCTGACAGATACTGATGTATGCTAATGTCAAGTGAGGAAAATATGCTTTGCTTCCGAAAACCATGCGTCCTGCTATGTTGACATGGCATGCTACATCTCAGAAAGCAGAGCAGTTTGTTGAATGTCAAGAGTTATGGCTTTTTGTCTGGGAATTTACTGTGGCATGCAGAGCATCACAGCCATCTGAGAAGGTGATGTGCCTTGTGTGATTCCTTCAGCACTTGCCTTCAGCCCTGGGCTGGCCCAGAGGAAGCTGGCTGCCCTGCATTTGTGTGTCCTGTAGGAACTAGAGTGAAACCAGCATTACCTGGCAGTCATTTGGATTGCTGTTTTGGAGCAGGTCAGCTGTTCATCTTGCCCCGGTTTCAGCATCTGAGGGAGAGCAGCCTGATGTCTGGAAGTAATGCCTTGGAGAGGTCACAGGACACCTGACTGGAGAAAGCTGTACTCATTTACCAGTGAGGGACACTTTCTATTGACAGTCACTGCTAATTTAGTGGGGGTTTGGCTTCCTTGTGCTCTTATTTTCCCCACACTGCAAGACAGACTAAAGACTGTGATGTGCAAGGAAAAGGCACTGAATATTCCTCTACAAGTGATCTTGCTGCTTCTGCAAGACATTAACAGAGCCTCAAGAAAAAAACCGATCATGGATAGAAAGAGATGCTCATGGTGTTTTCTACTGCCCCTTGTTTTGCCCCCATGAAGAAAGCTTGACAGCAAGCCCCAAGATGATCTTTTATGGCTTTTAACAGAAGAATAGCCAGCCCCTTACTGGCTGGGCCACTACCAAGGTGATGTCCAGAGCCAGCACCCTGCCCTGCCGCTGACTTGTGTTGTGGCAAAGTATATCAAAACCCCTACTAAACATTAACCAATAGAATCTAGCTCTCTTTCCTTTTTCCTTGTTTATTTTTCTTTCAATTTTTTCCCCTCCCATGGCCATGCTGTAACTATTCCACCAGCTTCAGGCTTGCAGTCCTTCAGTCAGAGCTTAATCCGAGACTCCTTGCCCTACGACCGGAGCACTGGGGACAATGTCAGTGGATGGCGACTTCCACTAAAAATGTGACTTCCAAGTGTCCAGAAATGCTTTGCTGGGCTGTAAGGTACAACTGTGGACAGTCCCTCTACCAAAGTCCATGTCGGAGCCATCCGTGGAAAGCCAGATAGGTTTTCCTTTGGGCAGTTGCCATCTGTCTAAATGCTTTATGGCTTTTCACTTCAGTATTAAATTGTCCTCAAGTTACTCAGTAAACACACTTTGCTGTATTTTACCTAATGGCCTCTGAAGTGGTGGGAGCTGGTTGGGTTCTTCTTCCCTCTGCCCCCACACCTGCCCACGTGCGGGGCAGCTCCCCCGTGACCCCCGGGGGCAGGGACTGCCTCCAGTGAAGGCGTTGCTGGCACCACTGCGAGCCAGGTGGAACCTTTATAACCGATGGTGCTGCTCAGGAACTTTGGCCCTGGCAGGGAGACGGCGCCAGGGAGAGAACCGCCAGAATGGAACATGTGGAGGGGGTGAAGTGGTACGTGTCACATGTGTGGGGATCTCTGTCTCTTTGTCTGTCACTGCAGGAAGGGTGTCATGCTCCAGGACAGCCTCTGCCTTGAAAACTACTTTTGGATGACCTTTCTCCCATGCCCACTTTTGCCCCAACTTGCCTTTCCCTAGACAGCAAGTGGTGAACACCTTTTCTACTTTTCCTTGGTGAAGCACTGTGTGAGATTAGTTTTTTCTTTCTTTTTTTTTTTTCCCCTTTGGTCCTTTTTCTGAATTGTAGTCTTCAGTCACTTCTCTGCTTGACAGCAGCTCTGTATTGTCTGGCTGGGCTGGAGCAGGGGAGGTGGTGGAGGGGAGGATGAAGGCAATGTTGCATGTTGTTTGGAGGGAAGGGCTCTGCACCACTGGCTTCTTCCTGGCCTGACGTGGATCCATCATGATGGCACAGTATTACCGGCAGAGACAGCTAGGCATTTATTTTTGTCACCTTGATCCAGATGTAGAAAAACCTCAGCATCTGGTCCACAGAAAGTGAAAAGCAAATGGCAACATTTGGAGATACAGTGGACTTGAGAATCACAGGTGGGAGAAGATTAAATGTGACAGGATCTTAATTTTATTTTTGTTTTCCTGTCCTCCATGTGAACTTGGGTAGTATTTCCTAAGAACAAAGGTGTTTTTTTAGGGTGTGTGTTGTACAAACACTGTAAAGATCTGGAGAGTGTAGGCTGCCTCTGGCAGTCTGACTAATGATCTCAGTCCTTTAAAACTGCCTCTCTTGCACTGGTCATGTTTCAACCATGCCCCCCCAACTCTCTCACCCTTCCTGCTCTTTTCATTTTCTCCCAACCCTCTGGTGATACACCTCTGAGGAGGTTTACATTCATTTAATTTCCATCAGTGAATAGGGGCAAATCTGCCAAGTGCGGTGAGTTCACTAGATCATGAATTCCTGTTATTCTGGATTTCCTGTCTTTCTACCCCATTGCCAGTGCCTTTCTTGTCTTTGTGGATTTATGAGACTGATCTAGCAGCAGTTCAGCTTGCTGTAACCCAGCTGAAGCAAAAGGCCCACTGAAGATGGCAGGGGGTGGGGGTGTAGTTCCTGCAGTCAAGTCTCTAAAGGTGCATGCTGAATTTGGACCAGCATTCCTGCCTTCCCCAACCTGTTTTTCTAACAGTGGTAAACTTTCTGCACCTCAGTGACTATTGAATGTGACTTTCCTTTTCGTGGCTCTTCCACAGGATGAAGATGAGACGCCATAAACTCTTTCTGACTCTCTGCATGGCTGGTCTCTGCCTCATCTCCTTCTTGCACTTCCTCAAGGCCCTTTCCTATGTCACCTTCCCCAGGGAGCTGGCTTCGCTTAGTCCCAACCTCGTCTCCAGCTTCTTCTGGAACAATGCCCCCGTCACGCCTCAGGTCAGCCCTGAGCCAGGGGGTGCAGAGTTCCTCCGCACACCCCTGTACTCCCACTCCCCCTTGCTCCAGCCCCTGTCTCCCAGCAGAGCCAGCGAAGAGCTGCACAAGGTTGAGTTCGTGCTGCCAGAAGACTCAACGGAATACTTTGTCCGTACCAAAGCCGGTGGCGTTTGCTTTAAGCCAGGCACCAAGGTGTTGGAGAAGCCACCCGTGGGAGGCCGGCAGGAGGAGCGAGCGGATGGCGCAGCCTCGGGGCGGCCGGCTCGGAAGCCGCTGAGCGCCAGCGGAGCCAAGCGGCGCAAGTGGGTGGAATGCGTGTGTCTGCCGGGCTGGCACGGCCCCAGCTGTGGGGTCCCCACCGTGGTCCAGTACTCCAACCTGCCCACCAAGGACCGCCTCGTGCCGCGGGAGATCCCCCGGCGGGTAATCAATGCCATCAACGTCAACCACGAGTTTGACCTGCTGGATGTCCGCTTCCATGAGCTGGGAGACGTGGTGGATGCTTTCGTGGTGTGCGAGTCCAACTTCACGGCCTACGGAGAGCCGCGGCCCCTCAAGTTCCGCGAGATGCTCCTCAACGGCTCCTTTGACTACATCCGCCACAAGGTGCTCTACGTTTTCCTGGACCACTTCCCCCCCGGTGGCCGCCAGGACGGCTGGATTGCTGATGACTACCTGCGTACCTTCCTCACCCGGGATGGCATCTCCCGCCTCCGCAACCTGCGCCCGGACGACGTCTTCATCATCGATGATGCTGATGAGATCCCGGCCCGCGATGGGGTGCTCTTCCTCAAGCTCTATGACGGCTGGACAGAGCCCTTCGCCTTTCACATGCGCAAGTCGCTCTATGGCTTCTTCTGGAAGCAGCCAGGCACCTTGGAGGTGGTCTCAGGCTGCACCATGGGGATGCTCCAGGCCGTCTATGCTACCGATGGGATACGTTTGCGGCGCCGTGAGTACTACACCATGCCTGGGTTTCGGCAGTATGAGAACAGCACAGGACACATCCTGGTGCAGTGGTCGCTGGGCAGCCCCCTCCACTTTGCTGGCTGGCACTGCTCCTGGTGTTTCACCCCTGAGGGGATCTACTTCAAACTGGTGTCAGCCCAGAACGGGGACTTTCCCCGCTGGGGTGACTACGAGGATAAACGAGACCTCAATTATATCCGGGAGCTGATCCGGACTGGTGGCTGGTTTGATGGTACTATGCAGGAGTATCCCCCTGCTGACCCCAAGGAGCAGATGTATGCTCCCAAGTACCTGCTCAAGAACTACCAGCGGTTCCGCTACCTGTTGGAGAACCCCTACCGAAAGGCAGAGGGTGCTGGGTGAGGCCACCGAGGCCCAGGCTTGGGTGGGAAATCAGAACTTCACCACAAAGGGAAAGAGTCGGGTGTTTTCCTCTGTTCTTCTTCTTTTGTTTCCTTTGTTTACAGGCAGGGTGGGCTGTTTTTCTGAGGTCTCTGCCCTCCCTCGCTTCCTGTTCTTCTTCCCTTCATCCCAGGGTGATGCCTGGGAACCCAAATTCCTCAGTCACATGAAGGGAGACCTGGACAGGAGGAAGAGAGATGTTGAGGACTTGCTCTGTAGTAGCATAAAGACTTCCTTGCATCTTCTGAGCCTCTCCTGCTGGCTGCAGAGAATCTCTGCAGCCAGCTGGCAGATTTTTCCTCTGGGGGAGGCTGAGAGGATCCCATGGGGAGAGAGGGCAGCTGTTCCCATCCACCCTCATCCTTTGTGGATTGGAGCAAGCATAGATGCAAGCCTGGGCTATTCAGTGAGCGTGTGAGTCAGCAGGCACAAACTCTTGTGAGTGGTTGTGTGTGCAGATGTGTGTCACTGGCATTTTTTGGATGAGTGAATGTGCAAAAGCATCTCAGTATGCTTTTTTTTTTTTTTGAATACTGCTATATTCAAAGGGTATTCTGGGGAAGGGAAATCCTTTGCTTTCAAGCTGTCCTTCTCAAGATGCAGCCCCTTGCACAGGCTTAATGCATTCTGTCCTGGGCTGAATCTTGCCCCAGTACTCTACCAGTCCTGGAGCAGACAGATAGGAAGCAGAGGAGAAAGCTGGGTTTGAGGGGTTTTTCTGCTCATTTTTCCCCCTGCCCCCACAACACTGCATGGACTTGTCCTACAAAGCCAAAGCATCTTCCCTGCAGAACATGCTTCTGTTGGGGCTGGGATAAGCTGTGGGGGCTCAGTCAGATGGTGGGAGTGTACGTTTGCAAGTGCATGGTTGCCTGTGTGCATGAGTGCTCACATGCATGGGTTTGGTGTGCACCTGGGTGTTTATTACCAGTATTGGGGGGGAGGAGGACATAGTGGGGCTTGGCTGAGTGTGCTTGCAGGAAATGGTGGGATCCAGAAGCTGTGATCTCAGTGTTGGCATGATGATTTCTTGGGCAATTCATAGGAGAGGAGCAGGGATAGCATTGGCTCTGCATAGCAGTGGTACACCTGTGGGACTGTTGCACACCTCTCTGGCTGCCTCTAGAGCCCCACAGGCTGTGCCAGTAGCAGGGCTGCTGCTTACATCTGCTGGCTACTCCTTCTTACCATGGGGTAATAAAAGGGAGAAGAGGAAGGGTGGAATTCTGATTGTTGTGGGCAAACAAAGCCTGTTGAGGCACAGGATCCATCTGTCTGCCCTTGGGGTGTGAGGGGACTCATGAAGAAACAAGCCATGGGCCAATTCTTCCTGGGGCCAAGAGGCTGTTAGGGGACCACAGTGCAACCCAGAGTGTGTGCAGCCCACACCTGCACCCTGGGCCATGCAGACAACACCATGGAGAGGAAAAGGGGCTTAAGAGTGTGCTAGCTGCAGCTGGTTGGGCTGGTGTCTGCTCAGGCATGGGCAGTGAGGATCTGGCCTGCTGTTGTATTGGATTGTTCAGCTCACTGAGGAGGCAGAATCTTGTCTCCACCCTTACCACCACCCTTCCTTAGCAGATGGCTTGACATGGTGCCCAGAGCCTGGGTCGTAGTGGGCAGAGGGTGAAAATCGTAATGAACTTGCTCTCTTAGCCTTGCAGTGGAAAGACTGACTCACATTCCAAGCAGAAATAGTGAAGAAGGATAATTACGAAGGCATTGGCACAAAGAAGTGTGGCCCTTCTGGCCAGCTGTGCTAAAGCAGGAGGGTTTTCATTGCCCTTAACTCCATCAGGCTTCCATGGTCCTGTGGCACATGCCACCCTTGTGCTTCATTCCTACCAATGTCTCTCTCTTTTTTTCCTTCCTAGTCTCCTCTCTAGAGAAGAGAAAACTGTCAACAAAAACAGCTTGCTTGCTTAATAAGGCAGAGACTGGAATAAAAAGATTAATGTCTTTTTCTGATCAAGTGGAGGTGCAGTTTATCTTGGCTCCTTCCACATATTGTTTACCATAATGCCTTCTTAGAAGAACTGAAGAACCTCTTTTGTGTTATTTTTGGTTTCTTTAAAATCCCTGTTCTCAGTTCTGTTGTGTCTTCCCCACAGGCAGAGAAGCCCCTTTGGGAACTGGGTGGACAGACAAACTTTGCTAGGAGAATGCTTTTCCCCCAAAGGGAAGCTGTGGCTTTTTTAAGTCCAGACTTATTGATGTAGCAGAAGGAACTCCTGTCACAGTCATGAGGTTCTGGTGCTGAGCAACTGTGTGGAGGTTTTAACTGTAGAGAGATGGTAGAGAAATGGGGTCCCAGCTGAGAAAGGAGGAGCCTGTATTGAGCAAGATGAAAGCCACAGCACTGAGGATGCAGCACGGGGAGAAGATGCTTTCCCCAGGGACAGCTGGAGGAGAGCAGGTGTGTTAGCTCATGCAATTCAGCAGCAGCACAGTGTGGAAGGAAGAAGCCATTTCTCATTTTTACTCTGAGGAGGGAGCCTGAGGTCTGCTCTTGGACCTTTTGGCTTTGCCTTGTCTCAGTGATGGTAACACAAGGTCAGTGCCAGGCTTTGCTGGAGGCAGAGGAGAAGGACCAGCCAGTCTTTGCGTGGGTGCTTTGGCAGCACCAGAGCCCCACTTCAGCAGGAGCTGAAGTTCATGTGTGCTGAGGCTGCACCTCCTTATCTCCCACAGTGGGAGCAGCCTTTCCTCTGATATCAGCCCTTCCCATGCACAGCCATCCTTGGGGATTTTTAGTGCACAGCAGTCATGTTTTCAGTGTTGAGGTGCAGCCCTTGTCTCTTGGGAGTTTAATAAGCCCACAGCTGCAGTATCTGCTTCTCCCATTCCTGAACTGCAGCCTGTTGCTTTCTCTCCTCCATTATTTGCTCCACCATTCCCCTCTTCTCCCTCTGATTTGTGTCTTCCTTCTGCTCCCTTGGGCTGGAGAAGGTGTTGCTGGAAAAGGAATGCTGGGGTTCTTGTGCAGAACTCCTGCCCTGCCTGCCTCCTGGACTTACTCACTTCCTTATTCTTAGGAAATTAAATTGAAACCAGACTTGTGTTGTAGTGGGAGGAAGGGGCTTTACAGATGAAATGCATTCTTTATTGTTTCTCTTTCTCAAGAACTGTTTAAGCATTTTTTTGATTTAAGGCCAAACCAGTCAATGTTTGTCTAATTTGTCTGGCTAACCCTGTGTTTATTATCCTTAGGGAGCTAGAGTGCTTGTCATTAAAAATCTTCCTTCTTGTCCCTGGAGGGAACAGACTACTAAGCTGGCTTTCACATAGTGATTTTCCAAGGTGGTGGCTTGCCCTCTGCTCTGCTTTGCCTGTGCTGCCTGCTGGGACCTCTGCAGCCAGCTCGGTGTGGGACAGCCACCCCTCCAGGCAGCTGCCACAAGAGGGAAGTCAAAAGTATGTGCATGTGTGAGGTGGTGAGAGAGGCAAAGCAGGAGGCAGGTTGTGTCAGATCCTTGTTTCCCAGTGCTAGACCCTGAGGTGAGCACTGAAGCTCCTTCATCTCATCTGAACCAGGTTCTGAGATTTGAAAAGGGAAAGACCAAGAACCTTGTGCTGACACTGGGCTGGAACTACCAGAGCCTGCTGTCTGTGGGTTGTTGCAGCCCATGGAGCTGTGGGCAGTTAATCCTGTTGTCTCTCTTGGACCAAACTGTCCAGTGGATGGAGGGAATGCATCACCAGCCTTTTCCTGCAGCCCTCTTCAGCCTTGTGCTTTTTCGTCCTCAAAACCTTTTTTACCTTCAAACTGGTAAAAAGTGGGGCCAGGAAATAGGTGAAGTGTGTGGCATACCCAAGCCTCGCACGTCTTTCTGTCTTTGTGCTTCCCACCTAGAAAGAGATTGTGTGCCTGTGCATGGCTTTGGGCTGGAGAATGCCTCTTCCCCTTTGCCCCGAGGGAAAGGAAGGACATGGGCTTTGGTGCCCCTGCAGCAGGTGAGCTTGCTGAAGCAGAGGGACTAGGGCAGGTTAGACCTATTTGCCTGTTTGGGGGCAATGCCACACCCAAGTGACAAAAGACACGGTGAGTTTGTGCCTGTGGTTGGTATGGAGGATGACATGCTCAAGCCCACTCTTGCTGTTGCTTTCTCTGATCCCTGTGTCCTGCTGAGATGTTGTGGTTGTGCTGCCCAGGCCAACCTACTCTGTGTCTCTGTGACAGGTAAACAAGGAAACCGAGCTGGCATGGAGGGAGAGTGTCAGAGCAGAATGGGTGTTTATTCCCCTCTGCCTGCCCTGCTGTTTCCTTGTGGGGTGGTGTCTGTTCCCCTCCTCGGTGTCCCGGGGCTGTGTCCCTGTGTCCCAGCTCCTGCTGGCAATCCCTGTGGCTGCTATGCCTCTGCACTGTGAAGACGCGTGTCCAGGGTCGCTCCTGGTTCCATTGGTGAACACTGGTGGTGAAGAGGGAGGGACAGCTCATCCTCCCTTCACTGACCTCTGACCTTGGTGAGAAAGGAGGGAAGTGAGTGGGAGAATGGATCCTGTACCCCTCCATCGTTGTGTTCTCTCCACCCTCCCTAATCCCCTCCTTTCTGATTTCTGAGATATTGGACAAACTCACTCCTGTTATGGAAAGGGAAGGGGAGCTGGAGGGTAAGGGGGTGGCAGGAGGGGCTCAGATCCAGCATTGAGAAAGAAGAACTGTTTCTAATGCAATACACTGACATTTTAAAGCTTTGGGCACTGCAGGTAATGGATTAAGAAGGGATCTGAAATACTCTAAGAATTCAAACAGCTGTTTTTTCCTGCCTGTGCGGATGATGATGCAGTATCATCCTGGAGGTGGTCCAGCAGCACTTCTGAGCCTGGGGTCCACCTGGACCTGCTGCTGGTGTTGCTCCTGGAGGGGCTCCAGGACATCCTGCTTTGGAAAAAGAATGCGTGGACTTGCCAAAAACTAAAAAGAAAAAATAAGAGCATCTGCAAAGCTCCTTTCAACTCTGTAATTTATAAACAGCAAGTAATAATGAACTTTTTGTAAGGATAAATCAAATGTACATTCTGAAATCATTTTCTCTGTAAATGGTTGGATTTCATTTCACCCTTAAAGGGATGCTTAAAAGGAGGAGATAATAATAAAAAATTAAAAAAATTTACAAAGTATGAAAAGAAACCAAGATGTGTGTAACAGCTTTTATTTCTGATTGCCTGGCCAAGGGGGCTGCTTGGAAAATGGAGGGAGGGAGCTTCCTATCTTGGCAGAACACTGTTCCCAAGAAGGGAGATGGAAGGGGAACCTAGCTGGTCTGGGGACTGATTCCTGATTTTGAAGGCCCCTGTCAGAGCTAATCTGCTCCTTAGGTGAGTATGAACATGTGAAGGCACATGAGGGGGGAACGATGGCTGCTACGTGGCTCTCAGAAGAGCTAGTGGATGTGGGAACCAGCAGCATCTCATAAAATAGTCCCTTGACACAATCTTTGCTCCTTTGTATGCATCCATTTTTCCAAGTAAAGCCATGGAAACTCCAGAGCCCCAAATTAAACCTCCCTGCTGCAGAAATGCCTCTCTGGTGGCTGACTTTTGGCACGGTGCATGAGAGAACATGACCTCCTTGTTTTGGTTTATTTTTAAACCTGTCTGCTGTAGTTTTGGCTGTCCCCATTACTTGGTATCAAAGCCTGGTCCTGCTCTGAATCCTCCTAACCATCTGGCCTCTGCAGTGCTTTTGGCAATGGCCTTTTGCAAGCTCATGTGCCACCTACAGCTATTTAATTTTTTACCTTTTAAAGTGTCTTATGCTTCAGGTTCATTCCTGATTCCATTTAGAGATAGTGACTGTAAGCATCATAGGTTATTTTCCTCATAATTATTAGCTCCAGTGCCTTGCCTCATCTTTCTTTCATCCATACCAGTCTAATGTTCTCAATTCTCCTTTTGTGGAAGGGTGTCATCAAACTAGAGGCTTGTGTTGTGCAGTGCTGAATGCAATTCTCCTGCTTCCATCTCTGGAACAAAGGGCGTGAAAGAAACCTGCCACTCACAATTAGCAATTAAAATTTTCTATTTAGAATTTTCAGCATTCTTAGTGATCACTGTATTTTTGTGCCTGAACAGGGGATAATCTAAAAATAGTTGATGGCCAGCATGCTTGAAATTTCAATTTTTCAAGAGGGGAAATAGAAGTCTGTAAGCACAGACCAATGGCACCGTAGTGAGACAGTTTAAGAAATGAGAGTTGACTAGGTGAAAGGTTCTCCCCCGTTATTTTTCTTGCCTGTAACACAAAATCTTTACTGACATTTATATTATTTTAAAAAGTAACATAAGTGGCATTTATGTTGTTTCTTGTGAGGTTTTAAAAGACTTTTTTTCCCTGGAAAGCATGAGCTGCTGCTGCAGGAGGGGTTTACTCTTGGACAGACCAGTCTGGGGTGGAGAGTTTCATTTGCAGGAGCAGAGGGGAGCACGTGGCCCCAGCACAAGCCTCATTTACCATGTCAGAGGGTCCCTCCACACAAGTGCAGCGTGCATCCCAGGTATGGATACAGAGCCTTAAGCACCATATGGAATCGGGAGCCTGCAAGCCATCTGATGCCAAGCAATCCTGCGTGTTTTGCAGAATTTCATAGCCCAGCAGGTGTTAGATGGGGTGGTGCATCCTGGAGGAGCTTGGCGTGACCTGCCTGGAAGTCAGTGGTTTCTCCCAAGCTCTTGCTCTTTGTCATGGAAGTCTGGTGCTCATCCTGGGCATTGTGCAACACTGCTCGGTGGGGAGGCTGGGAGGGAACCTCTGCCTCTGGCTCACTGAGGGGCTGGCTCCAGCTGATTCCTTATTGATGCCTATCAGGCTAGCTGATAAAGGGAACTGATGTGCTGCTTCCAAACACCAGGGCGCTTGGAAACAAAGTGACTTCATTATAAACTTAAGGCACCTTTCAGAAAGCTGGAAGGGGGATTCCAGACCCCATTTTGCCAGCTGTTTGTTTGTGTTGCTGGGATACATTTGTTCCCTGTGTAAGGACACGTTTTAATGTGCAGGGACAGTTAATTTTCAAGTATTAATCCAATTGTACATTATGCTTCTAAATCTTGCAGCTTTAGCGGCTCAGCTGGGGAAGCAGTGAGGTCTCAGCTGGCTGGCAGGCAGCCCGTGGAGCAGCCAGGGAGAGTCACCCCAGCCCTGGAGAGCATCACCAGCAAATGGCTTCATGCTCACGTGCCCTCAGCTGCAGGCACTGGCTGTCCTGCTTTCCAGAGCACTGCCACGGAGAGGATTTGGCCACGGCCATGGCAGAGGGAGGCATCTTCTGCTTCCTGGCAGTGGCCCGTGTTCCTGAGGCTCCTGGGCACGCTGAAGGCAAACCTTCACTGGGGAGTGAGCTTTGCAGGGCTTTGCTTTCTCACTGCAAAACTGTCCCACTTAGAGGAGGGGCTCCAGATCACTGAAGTGAGAAGCTGACATAAGGAATATAACCCATGGATGCTTGGCTGAGGAGCCTGGCTTGGGGCCAGGCTGCTGCAAGCTCTGCCTTTGAAGCTGCAGCAGGGACAAGCATATCAGCAAAAAGGTAAAGGATCAGCCCTTTTCAGCTAATGTTTGGGACATTACTGTAAGCATCTCTGAGATCCCCAGACTTGAACCTTTACTTGGAACGAAGGAGCATCTGGCAATCCCAACATTTTCAGCATTTCTGTGTGTGCTTATTTTTTTTAAGCAAAGTGAGAAGTGAAAATAGTCCTTACTGTCTTTAAAATATATTACAGCCATGTAAGAATACAAATCTTTCAAGGCCATATCTCTCCTCACCCTGCCAAATGAAACACAGTATAAAACTCCATTGTTTTACTCTTGTGTTTCCTGTGCCTTATGGCTTGAACAATGGATCCTCTTGGCTGAAGTCCATCCCAGTAACGATTTAATTTGGGAACACACTTCACCTTTCTAAAAATAAGGAAAACTGAGAAGAAGAGCAAATAATCTGTGCTGAATAAAGATCTAAAATGACTTCTCCAGGATCTGAAATGAAAGAAAATGTTATCCAAGGAATGCATAAAATAAAATAACATAAGCTTGCCTCTATGCAGCAAACTCTTTCCTGGCATTTTAGCCCTGTTCTACAGTCTGGACTTTTTCCAAAGAGAGAGAGCAACAAATCATCAGTTATATATATATATATATTTTCCCCCTCAGACACTTACTGAGAACCAGGCATACACACAAAAATAAAAGAATGTAGAAAACATCTACCCACTTCTTTTTGCTTTGCAGTGTTTTTAAAGCTTTTGTCTCAAACTGTTACCTAGAAGTGAATGTCAGACCACAGCAAAACCAAAACCAGGTAAATGGGATAAAAATAAATCTAAGGGCCCGTGACTTACTGGGGCAAGGTGTGCAATTGGTGCCTTTGGTTAGAAAAATAAGAGAAGCAGCAGGATACAACAGCCATGTCCTTCTCAGGCTGTCTGTATGTACATGGGACCAAACCATACCTGATGCTGGAGTCCAGGATACCCTTACACAAACCAAAATCCACATTCATGCCGAGACAGCCTCATCCCAGCACACAGCAGGTGAAAGAGCACAAGAAAGCCTGAGGTCAGCATGTGCAGCTCAGCTCAGGCAGGTGGTACACCAGCTGCAAGCCCTCTGCTCTCTGCTGACACTTCCCCTGCAGAAAACAGGGGCTGTCGTAGGGATGCAGGATTGCAAGGACAACAGCACTCACAAAAGCAGGGTCTCTGAATGGCTCTGTAAACCTCCTGCAGCATGCAGCTGGTGCCAAGGGAAAAATGGGGTGGGGGAGGCTGGGGGATGGAATCTTACCAGTCAGGGAATAATGAGAAAAGTCCCCCACAAACCCAGCCATGGAGAAATCTGTTTGAAGAAACAAGTCATGCTGAGAGTGAAGGTGGGCACAGGCCAATTGTAAAAGTACTACAGAAGCAATTTCAATGTGTTAGGTAATAAAACTGAGCTGCTTCAGTGACTGTCAGTGCAGCCCCTCACGGGGACAGCAGCTCTGCTTCACGCAGGAGACCACTTGCTGCTGACGGTGTTTGCAGCCCCCTGCACTGCAGGGATGGAAGTCTGGGGGTCTGTAAAGCCCCAGACTGCTGCAGCGAGGCTGGGACCTTCCCCTTTTTCCCCCTGTCAAAAACAAACCCTGAGCATGGCTTCCCAGATGAGATATTTACTGTCCCTACTAAAATGTGGCTCTCAGCTCTAAATCAGGAATGCTCCTTGAAAGGCAACTGTGTCCCAGTGGTCTCTCTTCCCTCACCACCTGTCTTCCCACATGAACTCAACATCAAAGCTGCTGGGGCTCCAGGGAATGAAGCCACGTGTGCCACCCTTGGGCCTCCGCCCCTCCTGGCTTGTCACATCTGGAGAACAGGATCTCAAATGCCATTGATCTTTGCGACTGCTCAAGAAAAGTAAAGAGACAGAGCTGCAGCTAGAGAGCTGTTGAACGGGGCTGGGACTGCCAAAAGGTCCATTTACTAGAAGATACTAAAGATATTAAGCCCACGCTCAGATACCATAAGTGGGTCACTATCCATCTTCCCCCTTGCATTTTAGAACTGCTTTCTGGCTCCTCCAAGAGACCAGCCTCCTGCTTTGAAGCACAGTTTGTTCCCCATCCCTCCAAGACGCCATTTGCAGCTGTGAGGCTCACATTCACCTCCCTGCTGACCAGGGAGGGTTTGCTGGCTGGGGACAGGCAGCACAGGGATGTCTCCCTAGCTGGGAATGGTCCTGCCCTTGCAGAATGGGTGGTGGGAAGCCCTGAGCATGGCACTTGGCTCCCAGGAGCAGAGGCTGCAAGCCGGGCTCAGGGGCAGCCATTTGCTGTTTTTAGTGGCCATCAAAGCCTGTGGCAGTGTCTGCTGGAGTGGGAGGACTGGCTGCAAGCATGAGAAGACCAGCAGAGGAGTGGCAGCTCCAGAGACCCCTGAGGAGGGGGACAGGAGGGGACGCCTCACTCTTATTCCAGATGACAGCAGGGGTTACCATGCCCTGTCACACATGCTGCCTTTGAAATTTCAAGCTCACTTGGTCATTTTGAGAAACAAAGGTTGTTATTGTTCTCCAGGAGCACAGCAAAGGTCTGCTCCCTGCTCTGCCTGCACCTGGCCCTGTCAGGGCAAATAAATTCCCTTTCATACAGGGATA